CAGTGCCGCCAGCTTGGCGAAGAATGAGTAAAGTAAAAATTTATTTTCTCTTATTCATTTTATGGTAAATTGTAAAAAGCATATGTATTAAAATTTTGTAAATGTATGTAAATACTTGAATGTTATGTAAAAGTAGAATTTAGTCTAGAAGCATAAAATTGTAGATGCTAAAAGTGAATGCTTAAAAGCAATGAAGTCAAAATTTAAGTATTAAACTGTAAAGTAAAGTCATGCTTTAGAGCGAAAGCCTGCATGTTTAAAGATGAATGAGGGGGAAGTTAGAATGAATGTGTTTTGTAGGGTTCTCCACCTACATTTGAATTTTTAAGATATTAAAGTAGCTCATTGAGTTGTAGAATGTCGAGTAAGGTGTGTCTATTTGGTCGTTGAATTCTAACAAATCATGGTGGTTAGGGGAAGTGTTGTAAGACTAAAACACGAATATTCCCGTTTGACACCACACACGGTGGAGAGCCAGGGTAAAGTTAAATTAATGCTTGAAAAATTGAATGAATGTGAAGTAAGCAATAACTAAGAAAAACGAATCGTTTAAAAACAAAAATTTATTGTGTCAAGAAAGTGTAAATTATAATGTATGTAGAAAGATACTGATACTTATTCCTTCCAGATGCTGGAAGGAAAGACCAAGATTGATTGATGAAGTCCAGGAAAAGTTGCTGTAAGAGAGAGAGCTTTAAAACGAGCAACAGAATACAATTTGTTACATAAGATTTTTTTTTTTGTGTAAACGAGGTTCTCGCCAGTTAGTTCAGAATTAGAGAAACTTACAACAGGTCGTTTGTAGGACCTGCTTCCAAGTTTTCCAAATTCTGGCAGCGGCAAATGTAGGGTTTATATTTATTTTAACTAACATTTATTTTAAGTTTAAACTATCTTTCCTGTCAAGCCTTACTTTCCCCTGGAACTGCCAATGCCAGAATATGTAAATTTTGAGTAGAACGCGCAAGGCATTCAAATTATCAGCGGAAGTATTCTGATTTAAATAGAAGGAAACGAGTTCGGTGTGATATTCTTACTTCACGAGCGCGGAGGTAGTTAGCGAGAATTGAAGAACCCCGCGTTGCGGCCTATGTGCTTGGCGGGAAGTAGTGGTAATCGTTCCAGTGAGCTTCAAGTCTGCTGAATTAGCAGCGGTATTGTAAAACGCGGTGAGTTAGTTATTTTAGAGAGCCTCGTAGTTAGAATCTTGTCTTTACTTTCTTTTCAGGTTATTATTTTTATTTGACTGCCAAGTTGGCACAGTCTGTGAGCGTCAAGAGGACGCAATTGTAATTTATTACGTTGAATAAAAAGGGACTTAAACCCTTTACAAGACTCTGTGTTTTATACAGCTTTCACAGTCACCTCTTGGTTGCGTGCAAGTTGGAGGCGTGCAACGTTATAAACTCATTGAAGTAGTTGATGATAATGTGTGTACAGCTCCAATTATGGCAGACAAAGACATTTTGGATTTATTCAAAGCTAAAAAAATATCATCGATGCAGATTTCGACGACGAAAATGAAATGAAAAATGCAATTCCTGTTCCCACGTGATCCGAAATGAGAAACATGATGAAAAGTATGCGCAGTTATTTAGACTCACATTCCAAGGGTGAAATGAATAACATTTTAAGAATTTATTAACAATTTGATGCTAAAAAAGACAGTGCAAAGAAAACTATCAGATTATTTTCCAAAAACTCAATAAATGTTTTGTTTCCCCTAAAACTTGAAAATTTTGTATTAATTTTCATCAAGTTTTTGTGGATGTTTTTGTTTCATTGATTTTTGTTAAATAATGCATATATACACATATTTATTGTAATTGTTAATTGAATAATGTTGTTAATTAAATAAAATGTACTCTAATAAACTTAATTTTGTTAATCCTTCCCCCAATATCCTTCTTTAACACGAAAAAATATTTCAGTCCCCTCAGATTCGTGTTAAATGATTTTCACTGTATACATGATTTTTTGAAAAAGTATGCCAACCCTTTTTGTGTTAATCCTATAAATCTATCAGTTACCACATGATCATGCCAGTTTGTGATCAGCAAAAATCCATACCAGAAGCATCAGAATTTTGCTTTAAAAATTTCTGACAGAATGCTAAAAATACAGAATACAGTTAGTTTGGCCCAAATTCAAATCTCAGCAAATAGGTTGGCTACATAGAAGTTTTCATGGTTTTTCCTACATACTGCGAGGCCATTTTTCCTTAAAAAGTATTTCACAACAACATCCTTCCCTTTCCTCAAAAAATCCTCATGTGCTTTCCCATAATCAGAATAAATACACTTCATTGCTAATTTTCTATACCTCAAATAATTTCTCTGTCACTCAAAAATTCGCTTAACAAATTTTCTACATTTATCCATTCTAAAACATCATCTTTTTATACAGTCAAAAGTCGTTAATTCGGACACCCGTAATCCGGAATGATCTATAATCCGGACCTCAAAGCTAAAATATTTCTGCGCATGCGTCGCATTGACGCATGCGCATAGGCGTTTTACTCGTGCGCGCAAGACATTTACGACTGCGCATATGCATCTGCGCAAGTGCAGAATACGTTTTCGCGTGCGCGTTTAATGTATAACGGACAGTAAAAGCTAAAATTATCTAATTATCTATTTCAGTTAATGTTGATAATTGCGTTGTTCCTTAATCTTCAAATTGGATCCGGCTTATTATTTTTTGCAGACTGTAAGAGCAATTTTCTAAAAGTAAGCTTGAACTTTCGATTATGTCAAATAGAATTTCCGATGCTGGAGCTCCCAAAGGATCTAGAAAACGAAAGTATGTTTCGATGTCCATCAAACAAAAAACGAATTGCTACAAAAAATGAATAAAAGCATATCCTTTGTTTATCTAACCGTTCAGAAATCTGTTTATCAATTTCACGCTGCTCTGCGCGGGGGGGGGGGGCACGTCGCGGCGCGCAATGAACTGGAAGTTGATCTGTCAACACTATCGTTATCTTCAGGGCAGATGTTTTTATTTTAGTCGGCTTATAATTCCTTACTAAATGTAGTATTTAATTTCGATGTACTCCGTCTTTGATATGATTTAAATCAAATTCCTCGTCATTACAAATATCACGAATTCAAATCACATAGTTTTCTGGTTGCAATTTTCTAATTTCGGCTATGAGTAAGGTATGCTTTACGCATCCGCGCGTTAAAAGAAATGTTTAATAAAGTAAACAAATAAATATTAGGCTTCTTTTTTGGTAAATTTGGATACCCTTTAGATCATAATTGCTCATTATTTTATAAATTACGGTTTCATATTTTTAATTTTATAATTTCTGCATGCCATCTTACCAGATTTAAACTGATGATCTATAATCTGTAAAAATCGATAATCCGGAATCGCCGAAGTCCCGACGAGTCCGGATTAAAGACTTTTGACTGTATTACATTTTTCAAACATCTGTCACAATGACTGGTGCAAACTTAGCGAGATCTCAGCTGATTTTCATGGTCAACAGAATATTTATAATAAATATGATTTACTTCAGATTTATGTCTGATATTTTTTGTTTTGAAATCTAACATGATTAGATGTAGTGATTTGATATTCAGTTTGATAACAACTAAAATGAGCTTTTTATAATTTTAGACTCGAATTTTTTCTTCCATTCATTTGGCTTTTCTACTATGAATTGCAATTTTTATGGATTCAGAATTTGCAGTTTTTATGTGTCTGTCTCAAGTAACAGAATTTTCGTGTTATCTGGAATTCTGCATTTCCTTAGGTTTTACTTTACTTGGATAACTCTGGCAGTTCTGGAACACAAGCAGCAACTAGTTTTTTCTCCATCTTTCTTCTGTTACTATATTTTACCAATTAATTCTTTGAATTGATAGTAATCTAACAGAATTAAATCTACTCAGACAGAAGCCTGGTTAATAGAACTTTTGGTTAATCTTTGGATTATGGTAACTTGGCGATTTTTTGGCCAAACTTTGGCGACCAACCCTGCTGCAGCAACCTGCTAGTTTTGTTTTGGACGCTATTTTGTTTTCACGAATTTTTTTTTTTTTTTAACTCAACATTTTTTCTAACAATCTGCTAGCCGAATTACGCTTATACTAGAACTTTTATAGAACAAAAATGCTTAATCATGACGAAGATTAGGTGCGAAATCAGGAGAAAGTGCAGAATCGCAAACTGCTTGCCGCATTTTTAAGAATTGCACATACACAGTATCATCCATGTACACGTCGACCTATTTTCACTTAAAAAAACATCTCAGAATTGCACAAAAATGGCATTGCGCACACTCTTGACTTTATCCATGTACACTGCTAAAAGTCCTAGCTAGTAACCTTTATCGCTTTACCAAAATGTCGCCAAACTATCTGTTACGATATTCCAAAGATTAGCCGAACTTTTTTATTTTGTCGATAAAAATGTATTTCATACACCATTTCCAGAGTATGATATTTTATGAAAGATTTTGCAAACCCATTCATAATAGTAAAAAAAAATATAGACTAGTATGTTTAATATACAAAAATGAAATTTTAAACTTTAATATTTTTAAATAAACATTAATCCGAAATAATGATATACTCCTGAACTATTTGAAACATTGGTACAGTATACATTTTTATTTCCACAAAACAAAATATATATTTTTTTAAGTGACATGTAAAACATGGCATACAATGACATTTTAATGACCACATTACTGTAATTGTTTTATTGCTAAAATATGCAATAAAAGTTTAGAAGAGGAGATGTACATTAAAAACGATTTCTTTGTTAAAAACTTTTCATGCAATTTATAAAAATATACGATATTATACGAAAACAGTAAGGATATTATTAGTGTAATTTAACTAACTAAATGTAACATAATCTGAAGTTATCAAATGGTTCCGAACATACATAAAGCTCTTAAGAAAAATTTTCAAAGAGAATGATACTGCATCATTTTTAACTTATAAATGACCATGGTAAAAAGTGAAATAACAATTAACACTTACAATATTTCCTGTGGATCAGCCAATTCCATAGCTTTGTGAAATATGTGGAATGATTTTCGTAATGAATCATCATACATTTCTGGATATGTAAGATAATCAGAAGGAACTGCATCCTGGACTTCAGGATCATTGTAAAATAAATTTTCTGAAACAGAAATATTAATTCAAATGTCTGTTGTATTTTAGATGACAAAATTATAATAACTGAATAAATTAAAAAATACCTTTAACTAGATAACAGAAAAACTTTAAGAATTAAATTTATATGAACTGCCTAAGTCTACAATCATCCAATCCTAAATAACATTTTTATGCAGAAAAGAAAAACTTCATGAATAAAAATCAGATTGCAAGTAATGTTCAAAATCAACATGTACATTTATATAATAGTAACACAATATGAATATATATTCTTCACATTTTTGACAGTTTTAATGAACTTATTATTAACAAGAATGCATGTAAAAGTAATTTTCTGTACCATTTTAAGAAAATTTGTTAATTACACAACTCAATTTAAATATAAAAATATCAAATTCAAAATGAACGAAGTTATTATGAAAATTCAAGAGAAAAATTTTAATTTCTTCTAGAACGTTTACTAAAAACTGCTAGATATGCAAAATGACTTTCCTCACCCAATTCTTTCCTCCGATTAGTTTTTTCTTTATTACCATCTAAAAAATTGGTTAGTTCTAGAGTGTCAAAAGTTGCATTCTTCCTTTCTTCAGCTAAGTCCTTATTTATTTCTCTGCTACCCATTTTTTATTTCGATAATTTGTACTCCCGAAAGTTTAGCAAAATAACAAAACTACACACGTCCCCGTAATCATGACACTAAGTGTATTCATGACGTATAACATTCACCTGAAGTTAAGCCTTCGGCTAAAAATTGCGTAACGAATCACCTGACCTCAATTTTGACTTACCTGCGAAAAGTAGCCAATAAAAACCGCACTAAACCTGTTTTCATTATCATGGCCGTCTAGACAAATCATACCATTACTTAGTTCAGTCGACCATGGCTAAAGAATAGACTCGCATGCAAAACTATGATCACAGTAAAACTTTCTTTTGTTTGCGTTTCGATGATTTGCTAAGCTTATTTATTTTTACTAATCTTGCTAATGTAAGGATTAATTAATGTTCAGACTGATAACGTATATATTATAAATTGCAGACAATCAATAGGACGTTATTTAGGCCGACCCTTCAGGATTCGGAGAACAGCCTTAGCGCCAAAAAGGGCAGAAACATCAATATTATATACTCCTATTATTACAAATCATTATTACTACTACAAATTACCGTAATTTTATTAGTTAAGAAACGTAATTTTAGTCTCGATAAAAGTATATAATTTATAGTATTTAATTTCCAAAGCCTGGCACTAGCCGTTAGAGGCGTTGACGCCTACAAGGCTGGCAGCGGTGGTCACTTTATTACGAAGGCTTCTGGATATATTTTACAGGATGATTCGCTGCTAGACCGACAAATTTAGAGGGTGTGTAGCGGGTACAGAGACGACTCTGAATCACATAGGAATGCAGGTTCCTAAATGCCGTAGTTGCGAGCTATTGTGCAAAGAAGCAGAGTAAAAGAACAGAAACAGTAACACATTAATGGGACAGAAAACGTTTTATTGAAAGGTTGTACTACAACATGTGTTCAAAACTACGACCAGAAGCAACACCTCCTAGAACTAACTCAAGGCCTACGGCGCGTTTCCCAGGAGGAGGTGTGACGTCAATTTCAGTAGGGATTGCATTTCATTTAACTCTCCCCACCCAGGACTGTGGTGGGTGGATTTCCGGAGTTTTGACGGTCACTCGGTCAGAAGTCGTCCATAAATACAGTGGACATTTTCTTTCTTTTTTCAGATATTTCCATATTATAAACTATTCCACTTTATTATTTGTTTTTTCAAATTTTAATATGGTTTACACATGCTGTGTACCTAACTGTAAAGGGAACTATCCAAATGGTCCTAAAGTACAGGTTTTCTCTTTTCCGAAAGAGAAAGAATTCTTAAATAAATGGATAAAGGCGGCGATTCATACAAGCAATTTCAAGCAAAAAAAATTTTCGAAGGTAAGTTGCGTTTTTTTTTTTTTTTTTTTTTTTTTTTTTTAATGAATAAGTTTATACTTATCTGTGCTTTAAAAAGTGCTTCTGTGTTAAGTATGTTACAATTATCATAAACCAAAGCCAGTACATACATTTATAGAAAGTAAACATATTTTAATCTTATTGTAAGTCTAATAGTGATTATATAAATGATGACTTAATCATACTATTAATTAATTTATATAGATAGTACTGTTTATCATCATGCTAATCGTTTCAATCTATAGCAGATGGCATTCTTTATCATCATGCTAGTCACTTTGTAGTAAATAGCATCATTTACCAAGTTAAGTAAATTAAACAAATGTGTGACTTAAAAGTAGGATTAGATTAAATGTAGGATTAATAAAAATTCAAAATTGTAAATACATTTTGTATGTTGCAAAATGCTTGCCTTTAAATTCTCGATACATTTGTCACAGGAACAGCGTATTTATTAACATCCGAAGACCTTGAAAAATCTTGATAATATTTTTGTAACTAATACCCATTTTGTTTCTGATATCAATGCGAAAAAATACGCTATTTAAATTTTGTGAGTTCATGCCTGATATTCTTAAAATTCACTTAATATAAAGTAAATAATTAAATATGAAGTTTTTACAAAATCTTGTATTTAATTCTAGTTTAGATAATTAAATCTGATTATAACAATCTTTGCATGCAAGTGTTTCGTATTTTTTGTAAGTAATAATTTAAATTTTGGCAACTCTTTATTTGACAAAAGATTTTCCTATCTAAGACTGATTCTTCAAAACTAGTTACCTGTTTCACTTTATACAATTAATAGACAAGTATGATTTTGTTTCTATTAGCCGTGAAGAAACATTAACTTATATTATTTTAGCGGTCCACCAGCGGCCGAGCGGTTAAGTCGCTGAACACTGGTAGTTCGGTCCGAGGTTCGAATCCCGCGAACGGACTGGCTGCATGGGTGTTTTCGGAGTTTTCCCCCATGTGTAACGTGTATACGAGCCAGTTTCCCTTAGAAAGTCCTCATCGGAGGCATCCCTTCCCTTAGGCAGATAGCCCTCGAGGCTTTGCCGTATAAAAAAACTAACCTAACCTATGTTATTTATGCTACAAATTTTAATGAAATGAATAATGTATGCTCAGTTTAAAGCCGAAAAACTAATGTGTAAAGATACAGACAGTTTTTGAATAATTATGAATTGACTGCAAGACAATTTCGATGATTTTCTTCTTTCTCTTCTTTCCTCTATTGGAACAATCTCCTCTTTTAGTGACTGACTGAAATAAGCATATACACATTATCTAAGTATTTCGAATTGTATAAATTATTTCGAATTGTAATGTATATTTTTAGTGCATCCTAAGGGCATATATTTTAGTCATTTTATTCGCAGTCTAATGCAATGATAATTTGTTTTTCATTTGCTGTGTTCAATATCCCAGTTTAGGATTTGTTACATTGCCTTCCACATAATACTGCTAAACCATGTTATAAAATTTTCCTGTAAAGACAGAGGTTAGCTATTTATATCTATATCACCTCTATCAGAGATTTATATTTGCCATTTAAATGCAAAATAATATTTAATCTCTCTGTGCACTAATGTCTCAAATAATTATGAAAACTTATTTAAATCGTTGCAAGCTTAGCGTTATTTTTTCAACGTGAGTATTTATTATTATTCGGCAACATATGTAAAATAAGAAATTACTTATATTTATCAAAGAGTTTTAGTAAGGCCTAATAAATTGTTGTAAGTATAATTATACGACTCTTGACCAATAACATCTCTGATTAATTATATTTGTTTTCACTAGATTTTATGTTTTCTACATGATTCCAGGTAAAATAGCTTCATAATTTAAATCAGTTAGAAATTATCTTCAATTTTTCAGGATCTATATCCTGCCTTCATGTCTTAAATTGTCTTTCTGTTTAATTATGCGTACAAATAAAATTCCGATTCATTAAGTGTGAAGTTCTTTCGTTAACAAGAGTTACTCAGCGATTAAATTTGGGTAAAATCGTAATAACTTTTAATGAATTAAAAATTCTAGTTATCGTATCGAACATTCTAAATAAAATCTCGGTTCTTCACTTCTAATGAAAGCAAAGTATTTTCCAGATTTAAACGATGGAAATTAAATATAAAAATTTCAGTTTAATTATAAGCATGTCAAATGGACATTTAGAAGGCGCCCTTAAAGTGGCGAGACGAAGAAGTAGAGCTCTGCAGTGACGTCACGAACTGGCGCCGGGCCTGAGTTAGTTCTAGGAGGTGTTGCCAGAAGTCGTCTGGCAGGA